CGACGGTACGTGTCGTAACAATTGGTGGCAAGCGACAGGATGAATCCTACCGCCCAGAATGCCAGCTACACATCCCAGGTTGGAAATGCAGTATGAAGAGTTAAGGCGTGCTACCCTTAAAGATATATTAGAACGCAGAGGACGATCAGCGAGTAATCTCAAGAAAAGAAAGATTATTGCCATATTATTGGAAATGGATACAGCACAGGGAACGAGAAGAGCTGATGTGCCTGGCATACTGGAGTTAACACCCGAGGAGATACAATTTAACCGGGCAGTTCAGATCAGGCTGGCACATTTTGGCCCCAACCCCGCAGCAGATATTGTGGTTCAAGTGCAAGCAGCAGTAGCAGCACAACAGGCGCTTCAGGGAAGAGGCGCTGCAGCAGCTGAGGTACCGTATCATAATAATGGAAGAAGAAAAGTACCTTTTGCTGCATTTCGGAATTTTGTAGAAGCCGAAGGAGAGATTGATGGGTTCCTGGCTGATTTTGAAAGGCAATGTGCCTTACACCAGGTACCCGTAGGGGAATGGGTCACTATCCTCTCTGGGAAGTTATCCGGCCAGGCCAGTGAGGCGTTTCGGGCCATCCCAGAGGAGGAAATTACCAGCTACAGGGCAGTGAAAGATGCCCTTTTGGCCAGATACGCTGTGACCCCTGAGGCATACCGGCGGCGATTCCGGGACACTAACAAGCAGGCTGGTGATTCTTATGTTGAGTGGGCATGCCGAGTACACCGCACAGCAGCCCACAGGATGGCGGGGTGCCAAGCGGTAACTGGGGAAGAAGTGCTGCAAGTATTTTTGTTGGAGCACTACTTTGACCGCTTACCTACAGGAGTCAGAGAATGGGTTAGGGACCGTAAACCCGCTACCTTACCCGAAGCTGCTCGACTGGCTGATGAGTACACTGATGCCAGGAAACTGGACCAGACAGCAGCCAAGGTCCCTACCCGAGTGGAGTACAAACCAGCAGCCCCTCCAACCACTGCAGTGTACCAACACCCAG